AGTATCTATCTACTGTGTTACATCGCAGAGCCCTGGTGGTGCAGGAGTTAGGAGCTACAGCTGCTAACCAAAAGGTTGGCAGTTTGAATCCACCAGCTGCTCCTTGGAATCCCTATGGGACAGTTCTGCTCTGTCCTATAGGGTTGCTGCGGGTCGGAATTGGCAATGGTTTTTGTTTTGGTTTATGTTACATTCCAGTGCTCTCTAAGTGCCGCGCAGTCCCCGGTCTTGGCTTTAGCACCTCCAGGGAAGGGAATGGGTACTATAGTTTATGTCCTCAGGGTCTGGCACAGTACCTGGCACATACTAGGTGCTTGGGGAATGTTTAGAATGAACTGTTGAACTGAATTACAGTGTGTTTTGAAAATGTTGTAATAGCGCTTGTATCGGGTACTGTGGGAAGACAGGAGAAAGGTACCCAGTCTAGCTTTTGGATTCTTGGCGTGGGGTGAACCCCTCTTGCCAAATGACAGCCCCGTCAGACTGTGTTTTAGACACAGTTTCCCTTGGACAGTAATTTTCTTAAACCAATATTGGCAGTCCTCATTTGGTGGATTACATTTTTGAGGAGGCACTGTAATTTGGAAGCATGTAAGTTGGCCAAACCAGGGTCTTATATTTCTGCACAAGGACTTAAAGCGCAGATTTTAATAGAAAATATCCATGTTTAGTGAACTTTGATATACCTGTTTTCTTATGCAGCATAAAGTTTTATGAGGTTTAACAATCTATTGCATGCTCTTATTGGTATTTTAAAATCCATTTATTTATAAAGTTTACATAGAGATTTTCCTGAAGTGTATATAAGAAACTGTTAACATGACAGCTGTTTTTGGGAAGGAGGCCTGATGCACCATTCAGGTGCTGAAGAGGATTTCTATATTTGCCTTCAAACCTTCTGTACTGTTTTTAGTTTTTATATTTATAATGAGCATGCTTCACTTTTATATAAAAGATGAGTTAATAGAGCAAGTGTGAATATCAATTATTTAAGAATAACAAGCTTAAGAATTTCTTGGGAGAGTGACTACAGACTAGGGGAGAAAGTATAGGAAGGACTATGAAGCCCCACAAGTAGTGGTGTTTCCAGAGCAGAAGATTTAACTCCTAGAGAGGTGGCTGAACAGGCAAGGGGTTGTGGATGGACCTGGAGCTGGTGAGAAAAGGTTTGAAGGTGCTGACGGACTAAGCAGACTTCCAGGATAGGTGGTTTGTGCAGTTGCTTGCTTTGAAAAGCCTTGGTTCCATAGATGAGTTCAGTAGGTTCCAGCTGATGAGTGTAAGGGCTGTCTGTGTTGGTTTTATGTTGTGGCAAAGAGTGAAACCAGGCAATTGCCAGAGCTTCAGATGTTAATGCTTGGCACCAGTCAAAGGTTTTTTTCCAATGCTTTATTATATTAAAAAACCAACCAGTTGTCATTGAAGTTGAGTCCAACTCATCGTGACCCCATGTGTGTCAGAGTAGAACTGTGCTCTGTAGGGTTTTCTTTTCTTTTTTTAAATAATTTATTATTTTGTTGTTGGTGAGAATATATACAGCAGAATATACACTAATTAAACAATTTCTACATGTACAATTTAGTGACGTTCATCATATTGTTTGAATTATGCAACCATTCTCACCCTCCTTTTCTGAGTTGTTCCTCCCTCATTATCGTAAACTCACTGACTCTTAAGTTTACTATCTAATCCATAGGGTTTTCAGTGGCTGATTTTTCAGTAGTAGATCACCAGGCCTTTTTTCTGAGGTGCCTCTGGGTGAACTTGAACTTCCAACCTTTTGGTTAGCAGATGAGCGTGTTAACCATTTGCACCACCCAGGGGCTCCACTCTACTGTATAGACAATACTTCAGTTTTTAAAAAAACATTATTATTATTATTTGAGTGAAGGAAATGCGACATCGAACATGTGAAAACAAAAGACACTGGGAAGACAGATGGTGAAATCAGTGTCTGTTCTGGAATCTGTCGCAGGTTCAGCATTATCAGTTAAGGGGTATAATTTCATACACCCAAATCTGAAAAAGTTTGGAAAGGGATAATACGCCCTTGATTCATTCTTACCTCTTAAAATCAAAATGGTTTATTTCAGGATGTTAATATAGTGGCTTTGTGTGTGTGTGTGTGTGTGTGAACTAGGTTTTGAGATTACTTTTTAGTTTACTTTTAATACATAAATATATTACAATTCATATGATGTAAAAGTATGTAATTTTAATATATTTCAAAATTTCACTAACACTTCCCAGAATTAACTTTTCTAAGCTACTTCACACACCACACACACACACACACACCCCCATAGTTTTATTTCAATATGCCAGATATTTCCTGCAACTTGTCTTTTTTACTTAACAACAGGTCTTAGAGCTTGTCTCTGGCATTGCCTGTGGTTCACCTTGCATTTTTTAATGACTGTAGTATTCTACAGTTTGAATGTACCATATTTTCATTCTACTTCAGTTTTGAGAACAACTAATCAAGCTTTCTTCTAGTATGATTTATGCCTGAAGAAAGTCCTAGGGGACTTTATGGAGAATGATAGGTATTTCAGAAATTCTACATTCTAAAAAAAAAATGAAAAGAGAAATCCCACATTCTGTGACCTGGTGTTAGGAGCATAGAGTGAAATGAGGAAAGGGAGCTATGAGTAACAATAAAGATTAGTCCAGGACCTTGTGAAATTCATTCCATGTTCTGACTGCTATAGCTTTTTGGCCAAAAAGCTTATTGGTGCAGGCCATGTTTTAAAGAGAAATCAGACCTTATAGATAACAGCAGATTTATGAAGTGTATAGTTCTTTTTTTTTTTTCTTTTAAATATAAATGCTTTGTTCTCTTTATCCTTTAGTTCTGTTTTATCCTTTGGAATGTTTATCATTTTTTCCTGGAAAGTAATTCTGCTAACAGAATGGGTTGCTTGCTTTTGTAAAAAATATAGCAAGAAAATCAACAATTTGTGGACATAATGGTCATGTATTTTGACCATGACTAAGAGGCTACTGACCAACTCTAGACCATCATTTGATTAAAATATAGGTTACAGCCTTTATGAATACAAATGAACCTTTTATGGGGTGATAAATTATTCTTTTGTGCCCCCCCCCCAAAATAGCAATAGTGTAATTTGACTGTGGACTTTCACCCACGCGTAGTTGGTGTTCTGATTGTAAATTTGGTAACTTTTTAGAGTTGAATTATCTGCTTCATGCTGGCCATTTGTATATGAAAATCTGCTTAGACTCAAAATTGAAAAGTAGAGTTTCCATTTTATTTTTATTTGTTTTTAAAACTGTCGTTTATAATGTAACCTATTATTAATGCAATCTTTTTTTAGCCTTTAAATTCTACTTTCTGACTTTATTTTCTCAATTTTCAAAATTTTAATATTCAGTAATTTTAAATGTTGGCTATATTTTCTACTCCAGTATCTCTTTGCTTAAGCTACATATCTTAAAGCTTTTCTGAATCATTAAAGTGCTAAATACAGTGATGGCACTCAGAGGCTTGTTAAATGAAGAAATGCCATGCCATGGAGTTATCGTGGAGGTTTACGTGCTGTTTATTGCCATCAGTTGAATCTGTTACAAGGAATAATGTAATATACTCCATTGAAAACCTAACTTTTCAGTTAAACAAGCCTCCAGACCTCTCACCTTTCCTCTCCTTGAAGGAGTAGTTCAGACTATATTTATTTTCACCTGTACATGCCAGGGATCTCTGGTCCGGACGTTACTGTCCTAACCGGGAATCTATCCTAGAGTACAAGCCTATAAATTATTGCTTCTTTTTACACCTTGCTTGTAATGTGGGTGGTTTAGGAGGAAAATACATGCTTCTAATCTACTGTTACTCCTGTGTGTAGACTATCCATTGTGTTATTGTTGTTTTCGACTCATAGTGACCCCATGGGACAGAGTAGAACTGCCGCATAGAGTTTTTTAGGCTGTAATCTTTACAGGAGCAGAACAGCAGGTCTTTCTCCTGTGGAGCCACTGGGTGGGTTCGAACACCAACCTTTGGGTTAGCAGCTGAGCACTTAACCATTGCATCACCAGAGCCAGTCAATGTACATATATTATCTCAACCTAATCTTGTAAGGTCAGTGACATCCCTGTTTTATACATGAGGAAATAGAGGCTCAGAGAGGCATGTAACTGGCTCTGGTCACAGAAGAGGTAAGGGTATAGCTAGGACTCAAACAGACCTCTAAGCATTTATGTTTCACAAACTGCCCCTTGCAGAATTCAGTAGGTGTGTTGTAGGAAAAAAACAGATTTAGGAGGCAGACAGCTTTGGGCTTTCAAACCAACTCAGCCATTACTAGCTGTGTAACATGTTTTAGTCTCTGTTTCCTCGTTTGCAAAATGGGAATACTACTGCTCACCTCGTGTAAGATTATTGTGAAGATTAAATGAAAAGGCATGTAAAGCCTTTGGCACATTGTAGGCTTTTAACAAAGTCACCTGAACTGCCTCACCAAGTCAAGTCACCCTCTGAAAGAAGATGCCAGCATTGACCAGGATCCTAGATAATAGACCATGCATTTCAAAGTATTTCAGAATTAAAGTTCTTAACTCATTTATTATCCTGAATCAGAAGATACCGATTAGAGTGTTTTCATCGTAGGTCTTCTGAAGGCCGTATCAGGTTTCAATCCCAGCAGCAATGCAGTTAATAATGGAGGTGTTTCCTTTTTTATTTTTAATCCTTTGTTTTAATCATTCGGGCAGTTGCAAGGATTTCTGGAGGGTCTCATGTGCCTATGGCCATGGGATGGCCATTTCTCTCTTAGACTATTGATGTGGTGAACTGTTGAAAGAGGCAGGAATGATTGCGAAAGAGATGGCATTAGGGAAAAAATGGTATCAAATGCATTTCTCTGACCACTAAAATTTCAATGGGGCTAAACGGTGAGTTTGTGAACATTTTATTTGCAAACCAAATGAATTTCTTTGACAGAAATTTTCTCTTTAAATTTTTTTTTTTTTTTTTTTAGGATGCAGAATAGAAAACTGTGATTCTTGCTTTAGCAAAGACTTTTGTACCAAGTGCAAAGTAGGCTTTTATTTGCATAGAGGCCGTTGCTTTGATGAATGTCCAGATGGTTTTGCACCATTAGATGAGACCATGGAATGTGTGGGTGAGTGGTTTTTAATATAACTCTCAAACTGCAACTTTTATTTTAAAACTTAGTTCTTGAAAAATGTATGCTGGATATATTCAGGCTAAAAACCAAATCCATTCTCTTATTGTTAATTAGCCCTGGAAATTAAGTTTTTTTGAAGACTTTTTGAATTCTTTGGCATCATGATGATGGGTAGTGTTGCTTATTACATCTTGCTGCAAAATTTACTAGTTGTACATTTGCCAGGTTAAACTACTTATGTGCTGATAATAACATTTTTATAGCCTATGTAATACATCCATTTCTTATTATCTTAATAAATCGGTAGTAACTGTTGGAGAAAAAATCAGATATTTTAATTTAGAGGAAAAATGGAATTTTCAGGCAGTACCATGTCTGTTAACTATTCGATTGCCTCTGTTATGCCTATTAATTAGGGAGCTGCTTCTTACTGTATCTTTCAAAAAAAAATTTGAAGGAAATTTTTTGTGTACCAGATTTATTTTGTTGGTGATTGACTGCACATTAAAACAATTTTATTTCTTTCACTAAATTTAGAAACCTAGAATGCATCTTTAATTTACACTATAATGTGTACCATTCATAAATAGTCATTGGGAATACATACTTCATAAATTTTATATTTTTGAGTGTTCTCAAAATGCTTTGATATTTTTATATCATGGATTAAAAGATAAACATCTGTCAGTGGCTGCATTTTGATGAATGCCTGAATCTAGTCACCAGTGTAATGGAATGTTCATGTCCTCTCACCCCTGAATTTTATCTGACATGTTATACAGCTGATAGGATGTACAACAGAGTTATATATTGAGACTTTTCATCTCCTTAAAATTGAGACTTAACAGAAAATTAAGAACTATTTTCTGTAGAAGTATTGCTCAAATAGTCTGTATTTATATATTGGAAAGTTCATGCAGAAGAGAACGTTTACTTGAGTGGTTTTTGAAGAAATACACATTATGTTCCTATTTATGGGTGAATTAACACATTCAAGCAGGCAACATCCTATTAGAAATAAGAAAGTCAGTGGAAGAGCACACTGAGAAGGTTAAATTTGCTTTTGAGAGGGAAGACCCATACCTACCACAAATGTTCAATGGAGACTTGTAAGACAAATTAAAAATAAAGTTCAGTATATTACCCTGAAGAAAAATCCTAACTAGCTTTGAAAATCTAAGAATAGCCATGATGCCAGGTGAGATTTTGAACACTGAAATATTAATTGTGTGTGGATTATGGGCCTAATTCCACATCCACTAGTGTGAAGGGGCTTTGTAATGGTGAATTTTGATGAGAAGGTTTAACTTTGTCTATATATTTTTGTACTGCCCTTTCCCAGGGGATGATGGGAGATTAAGCCTAGTTTTCAACCACATAGGTTCACCAGAAGAGATGCTAAAAGCTTTTTACATCTCTAGTAAAAATTTACATTTTCAAATATCTAATCAGGTTTATTTTTACCAGAAGAAATGCTAAAAGCTTTTTACATATCTAGGAAAAATATACATTTTCAAATATCTGATCAGCTTTATTTTTCAAACTGAAGTAATGTCCATCACCAATATAGAGAAAAAGAAAATACTAAATGTAGTCGTTTCCAGAAGTCTGCTGAAAAAATACAGAGAATCAGAAAATGCAAAACAACCTCCCCATCCTCTTCCCCAATAGCTTTCAAAATAAAACAAACACATTTGTGATTTGGTGGGGAGGGATTAGAATTGACCTGTAAAATTGTGTCTTGTCATAGTATGAAAATAGTATCTTCTACTTTAGGTTTTAGCTGTTGAATCTTTTAAAGATTATAAATTTCAGTGCCATTAGCATGGATCAGTAGCTTTCCCTCAAAAAAATGAACTAAGACAAGTTGAAAGTAACAGCTGTTTAATTACTTAGATGGCGTTTTTTTCTTGTTTCAAATAATTTATAGTTCCCAAAAGACACGCATAGGTCTTTGTGGGCTGTAGAATTTAATTTTTGGTATGTGAGGAAGAGTAGGAGTGGAGAAACATTGCTAAATGAATTTGATGACAGTGGAGCAAATGGATACCAAATTGTTATTTGTATTTGTTTTATTAGAAGGATGTGAAGTTGGTCACTGGAGCGAATGGGGAGCTTGTAGCAGAAATAATCGCACATGTGGATTTAAATGGGGTCTGGAAACCAGAACACGGCAAATTGTTAAAAAGCCAGCAAAAGACACGATACCATGCCCAACCATTGCAGAATCCAGGAGATGTAAGATGGCCATGAGGCATTGTCCAGGAGGTGAGTTTGGATAAACACTGTCGTGTGCTGTGTGTTCTCTGATTGTCCTCCTCCCTAGCCACCCTCTCTCCCAAAGAGATTATCCATGAAGGAAACCTGATAAATAACTGTTGGTGAGGTAGTAAAATTCTACACTGTATGTATTTAGAGACGAATGCTTAAGTTATGAAGAATATAAAGTGAATGTTTCATTTATCTTCATGTTCTCTTAAAGATAATTTAGAAGAGTAGATTACAAATTATATTTTAAAAATGAGATTTCTGAAAGTGCGCAAGCGTGTGTGCATGCGTGTGTGTGTGTGTGTGTGTTTGGTTAATGTACCATAAAAGCGGGCTCATGTGAAATCAGACTGAAATCAGGCCTTTGCTGATGTTACTCTGAGAGAAGCAGCCAGCTTTCATTTGAGAAGGGTTTAGATTAGAAAGGTTTATGGAATCTTTAGAATCATCTACATCAATACTAGTTGAAGATGACAACTTAAAATAAACTTACCCAAACACTGGGAAGAATAAACGTTGTCTTAATGTTACCACAATTAGCCATTTCTCTTTGTTTTGATAATAATTTGTAGAAAACAGCTACTGGTATGTGTGTGTTTATTCATGTCTTTGTACTAATTGTGATGATTTGTACTAATTATTCTGTAATAACAAAATTAGGCCCATTTAGGAATTAGAAGACGTGTACATGACTTAAGGTACCGGACAGAGCAGAATCAGTACACTGAATTGCAGTTCTCAGCATTGTCACGGAGGTTCTTAAAGCATCGATTGCTTGTTACCCTTTGTTATCCCTAGTAAATACTACAATACTAGGGATGAAGCTGGAATTTTCTAGTATACAAAACAGGAAAGCAAAAAAAACCAAGTTGTGTTTAGAAAGTTGCCCTGTAAAATAATCAAAGCTTTTGTTTCCTTCGTTCTTTCTGTTGATGCGTAGTTTTTTCAGCTTTATGACTACAGCCCAGAAAGTGAATACGTATATTTTTAAGAGAGTTTTTAATATCTGTATTATGCTGCTTCATAGAAACTATCTATGACCATTGGAGAAAGACGAAACTTTTACGACTTGAAGACTCCAGACAGCCTTTGAGAACTATTAGATCCAGATTCAGAAGCTACTATTAGGAAAGCAGCTTTTCCTCTTGAATGAGTTGTGCTTTTCCTTGCTGGGTTTTTGAAACAACGTTTTTTTGCGTGTGCTTTTCACTAACAAGGATGGTTTTGTTCGCTTAAACTGGGTGTTTTTCAGTCAAAATATAAGAAAATATTTTCTTACAAAACTAATAAGCCACTTCTTGGATAGCTGAGAGCGTTTAACCTGCAACCTTGTGCCTAAAAACAAACCTGATGTATTCAGGTATGGAAAAGAAAGACTTTCTTTGTTGTGTATTGTTTATATAACAACCCCTCCCCCATTCCTCTTCCAGCAACGTGGTCCCCCAATTGTGGTTTACGTTAATAGCAAAAATTAACCTGAAAATGCTCCTATAACAAACATGCTTATGTGTAACAAGAACCAGCGCTTTCCCTTCCCCTCCAAAACTCTTTATTTTGACCTAGCCCCAGTCTTCCTTGAAAATTTTGTAGATAACAGCTAAATTGTGAAACTATAATGTTTATTGCATCTATATTTTTTATGCTACCAACAACAGTTTACTGTCTTTAATGGAGTATAACCAGGACTGTCAGTAATTTAAATTATGCTCAAACAAATGCTTATGTATGGTCTGCTAATAATTCTGTTATTAACAAATGAACCAGTACTGGACTTTGAGTTAATTCATATTCAGGTCTTACCAAGTTTTATTTATTTGGAAAGACCAGCTGTCGCTCCAGTCCCTATATCTACATTTTTTACTTTCATAAATTCAGTTTTTCATATAACCTAGGTGTTAAAAGTCAAATTGAAATATGTTTTTGTTTTATAGAAAGAGAACTAAAATTTAGTTGATTGTTGCTGGAAATGGTAAATTACTCTGCCATAAAATACCTTTTATTTACAAATGTAGGACATGAAAAGTAGAAAATTAATTTTGGAACTTTAAGCACCAGTGATAAAAACTGGCATAACTTCTAGTGGCCAGTATCCTACCTTGCCTCAGGTGAGAGAGGGAAAAGTACCTTTCTTCAGTAGGTCATGGTGATTAATGGAAGGATGGAAGAATTGAGAAGGAAACCACTTTATCCCTTTTACATCTTGATTTGATTTCAGTGATCTGCTTTGACGAACCATGCAAAAATGTAAGTCGTAATCAGGTTGGGAATACAGGCATTTTTCAGATCTTTTCAACGTATGTATAGTGTAGGTTTTTCTCCTGTTGGGGCCAATCTTAACCTGATTGCACACAAATGTGGCCTTAACTTTCTTCACACTAAAGCACTGGTACATTAAAAGCAGCTGCTTTTGATTACTTAAAGGCATAAGTTAGAGGTCACTGTAATGGACTAGTCACTGTGTAAGACGTTACATAGAAATCTATTAAATAAGAGAAAATAAATGGCTGTACGATACATTTAAAAAGCAGTGTCATGCTCTAACCTTTTTTTAAACTGTTATACACTTACTTGCTTTGAAAAAATTAAAGAATTTCTGGGAATATCTTAAGTAGTGGATTGGTTTACACTTGAGGTTGCTCAGTGTTCATTCCCAATCTTTTCTTTTCTTTTTGATTTGTTATCTTTTTTTTCATTTCCGACGACTTAACCTATAGGGCTTCTTGGACTCTCTGATGCTCATTCTTCAGGGTCTTGGTCTGGCAATCAGGTGATCTGGGTCTCTGCGCTCTGTCAACTCATTAATTCTGTGACCCTTGGAAAGTCACTTAACCTCTCTTGGCCTCTATTTCCTTATTTGTAAATCGAGGGAGTTGGGGTAGGTAATCTCTAATATCCAGTCCAGCTTTAAAATCTGATGCTTCTAGGATTAGTAGCCAAAATATGTGGACAAGTTCTGTGGCTGTCTTGTGTAGAGTGAGGAAGAGACTTGGAAGCTCAATAACATGGTTTTACAACCAAGGAACTGAACACTTTTCCAGTAGCTGCACCATGCATTTACCAAGCCTTCCACATCTGGCAGCGTTCACCCTCCTACGTCTGAAAGGATTCAACTTGTGTAGTCAACCCTCAAAGACTAAGCAAAACTCCTTATAAGTCTGCGTATGACCTTTGGTTTAGCTACAGAGATAGGTGGGTGGAGGATAAGAAACGGCAAAAAAGTAGGGAGAATAAAAGATCATAGAAAAAAAAGAAAGACGGACAGTGGGTCTGAGAAAAAAAATGAACAATGAGTGTAGGAAACAAGGAAAAACCTAGAAAGGACTATTTAAAAATGAAGGTTGTCCTCACTGTAAATATAACTGTCTACAGTTCCCACTCCCTACCGTGACTACACTAATGAATAGGCTAATCCTGTTGAGACTAATTTATTCTATTGCTATATAATCTGCCACTTCAAGGGATTTACGTTTGAAGGGCTTTCAAATCTGGACCGTGTTGTGCATTTCTTAATAGAAAAATATAAACATGCTGTTATCAGATATGTAAATGACAAATGGGAGAGAAAAATATAAACATGCTGTTATCAGATATGTAAATGACAAATGGGAGAACAAAATTGTGGTTGCTGAGATATGAAGTGGGAGGATGCTCATGTACAGGAGAGAACGTTGTCCTCTGGAGTGGCTGTAATCTTCCACTCTTTCACAGGACTGGCCACCACTATAACATCATCCTCAAATATTCTGTCTCATTTATATGGGACTCCTCATTATTTTCTAAAGTCCCAAGACAACTGATTTTGTGAATGTATTCAGCAGATATTTTATGAGCCTTGCTCAGTGTGCCAGTCAGTGTTCTAGGCATTGAATTGCCCAAGAAGGCCTTATAGAGCTTTTGCTAGTGGAAGTAATGGCATTTAAAAAGCAAATGGATTAGTATATGGTATAATTTCATGTGGAAATGAGGGCTGGGAAGAAATTATAAAGCAAGATAAGAAGTTAGTGAATGACTGGGTTGAGGGGGAGGAAGTGACATTGATCAGAGATCAGAGAAAGGAGGAAGCAAGACTTTTTATTTTTGTATTTTTCTAAATTTTATCTCGTTGTTGTTGAAAATATACACAGCAAAACATACACCAATTCAACAGTTTCTACATGTACAATTTAATGACATTGATTACGTTCTTCGAGTTGTACAACCATTCTCACCCTCCTTTTCTGAGTTGTTCCTCCCTCATTAACATAATCTCACTGCCCCCTAAGCTTCCTATCTAATCTTTTGAGTTGCTGTTGTCAATTTGATCCCATATAGTTCTTAAAAGAGTGTAACATTCAAGGCAGATCTTTTTTGCTAGTTAAGCTAAACTGTTGGTTGGCTTCAAGATGATGTCAGAGGATATTTTTGGTTTAAGGTTTAAAGATTATGTCAGGAAAATAGTTTCAGGGGTTCATCCAGCCTCCATGTCTCCAGAAAGTCTAGAATGCTTGAGAATCTGAAATTTTGTTTTGCATTTCCCCCCTTTTGATCAGGATTCTTCTGTGGAGTCTTTGATCAAAATATTCAGTAATGGTAGCCAGGCACCATCCAGTTCTTCTGGTCTCATGGCAAAGGAGGCAGTTGTTCATGGAGGAAATTAACCACACATTCCATAGTGGTTACCAGGGGTGGGAGGGAAGGGGAAAAGAGGGGTTAACGATGATGGAAAAATTGCATTGATTAAGGATAGGGTGGCACAGCCAATTATTGTAATTGCTATCAGTAAGCTGTACACCTGTAAAAAGTTGAATTGGCATAAGTTGTGTGATAGATATATTTACAACAACAACAAAAAATAAAAGAGTAGCTGCTGAGGCTGCTTATGTACAATCAAACACCTCATGGGATTTGGTTCCTTGGTTTAGAGGTTTAGGGTTATGGTTTCATGGGACATCCCAGTTAATTGGCCTAATAACGTGTTCAGTGCTGCTGTTCTACCTCCTAGTTTGCTGCATAGTGCCTTG